TTCCACTTGCGAGCCTTCACGATGACCTTCAGAATGACCCTTCTACAATTCAGAAAACAGATGCTTTCATTATACACCTGAGATCAAAGTGTTGAGTCTTCACTCTTCTCAGTCTACACGGTACAAGTTGTGCTCTCGGGAAGAGAAGGGAGGACGTGCATTACGGGACAGGAGGCGCGCAGAGCATAACTATCGGTGCTGTTGCTAAGCCACACTGTCCCGCAGGACATGGCTTCTGTCTCAGTGAGTGAAGGGGAACGGTGACCAGGGGAGTGGGGAGGACGAGTCCATAACCGTCAGGGAAACCGAGTCTCCAGGCTGGCCCTCACCCTCATTTCATCGTGAGCGACAGCGCAGCCCGGCTGGTGTGAAAACACCAAGCAGCTCAAACGGGATGAAGAACTTTAGACCAGCACGAATATGGAACGCACATATTGCTCTGCAGATGCCTTTTTCCTCCGACAGGCTGCTGCCGACTTTAATGTGGAAGAATCCATTTTCATACAAAGGTAGCCAAGGGTGACAGGAAATAGGAAGCCCACACCATTTATCTTCTGTGAACTTGAAAAAAAAAATCACTTAATTGCTTTTCTAGGAAGCTATTTTGTAGAATCATGGTACTTTATCTTTCTGCTCTTATTCGTGGTATAAATGGTGATGTTAAAATGACCACTGTGAAAATGCGATGATCAACCAATACGTTTTAAGCTATTTAATTACTTATTTTAACAAATAAAATTCTGATCAACCAAAAATGGTTACTCTGTTCTTCTGGGTGAATTCTGAAACTCGTAATACACAGTCGATCCACTGACGTTCACCTTTAGGTGTTCCTCTCCTGGATTCCTTCCTACCCTGCCTTTCCAAGCGCTTCCATTTTCAGCCACCACGTCTACCTATGAAATGAACGGCCAGCGGCCTGACCTGAGCGTTTTGGAGCACCCCCGCTGAACTGATCTCGCCCAACAGCTTCAGAGCCTGTGCGACCACCTGATGTCTCAATAGCACTGCAGACTAGACTTTTTCAGTGTTGTCCACCTCCCCTGGCATTAGACATTATTTTTAAATTCCACAAAGTTTGAAGCGAATATAAAGCCCTCTTTTCACATCTAAAGTTATCAGTTAAATAATAATTTATCATTATTCCATGATCCAAAGACAGATACACTGAAAAGCTGGTGACACATCAGCTTCAGGGCCTCCTGAGCAGAGGTTTCTCCAAGGCCCAGGAGGGCCCTAGGAATGTGCTAATGTATGTTCTTGTAACAATTCCAGGAGAAAGGTATTTTTTATTCTGTTTTTCCTAAAGAGAACCCCCCCCCCCAAGACAGTGTCATCTTTAGGTCCCACAAAACCTGTGCCTGGCCCTCCAGATAAACGGTCCCCCATCACCTGAATCCTGAATTACGTGTTAAGGGCAAAACATTAATTTTGTGTTTGCGTGTGAAACAAAAAGTCATTCACTTCAATTGGAAGTAAGATGTCGTGTGCCCTACCCTAGAACATTCTAGCATGCATGCTCCAGTCATTCGTGAGGTTCTCTGACTCTCACCTAACAGTAGTCACCCTTCCAAGTGACACTCCAGGGAAGGCTCACTTAATGAGGGGTGGCATCAAGAGTAAAAGATGCAGCTATAACAACAAAAACATGTTTTTCATGAAACACACAGCCGAGCTGGGAAAAACCAGCCCGGAGGCAGGTGTACCAGTTAAGGAATTCCCTTGAGGTCTGTAACTTCCACATCAAATTGCACTAAATTTTTCTACACTAATTACCTATTACTGAGGACTAAAGAATTATAAGAAATAACTCGCCATGGCAGCAGACAGAGTACAGATGTTGTGAGGGACGAATGAAGCATTTACAAGTGTAAAATCGGGAAAATAGAGTCACCAATTCTCTATTGTTAAAAATAACAGAATGTTTTTCTACTACAAGGACTATGAAGGTGAGTGAATTTTCCTAGGGCAAGACAGACAATTTTAAATTTAGTTTGGACCAGGGGTCCTCAAACTTTTTAAACAGGGGGTCAGTTCACTGTCCCTCAGACCGTTGGAGGGCCGGACTATAGTTTAAAAAAAAAATATGAACAAATTCCTATGCACACTGCACATATCTTATTTTGAAGTAAAAAAACAAAACGGGAACAAATACAATATTTGCATTTGCATGTGGCCCGCGGGCCGTAGTTTGAGGACCCCTGGTTTGGACTTTAAGTGACAGAAATTACAAAGGAAAAGCTAAGTGCTAGCACCTAATTTATTCAATTGCTGTAAATTTCTTGGAGGCAGAGACCACATCTTAGCTTTTTAAAAAATATTTTTCACATCAATTATACCTAGTCCTTGACCTGATTCTTCTCAGGAGGAATGTGCCTATACAACACCATACAGCTATACCTGCACCTTCCCTGTCTTTGTCATTTTTACCTAACACTTTCTTTTAGCCCCCAAATTCTTCACACTGCCCTAAGTCTTGCTCAACAGCTAACATCCTGAAAAAGTATAGTCAAGATACAAGTTCCATTCAGATCATTTCTTCTGTCAATTTCCCTAAAAAACACATTCTCTGCTTCACTGGAGATCAGTCAACTATTTATAGAGGATATTTTATTTTTTAAGTTCTTTTATTTTCTACAAAAAATAAAAGCAAGTATTCCCTCAAAAGTAAAATCTGATTGGTTTGATAAAATTATTTAGTTTCTATGTTAAGATTGTGGATTATATGGAATTCCCTAAAAATAATGAATGATATACCTGCCAAAAGGTACTTCTTAATTTCTTAGAGTAATGTAAAAAGAAACAAACAAAAAAAACACCTTTGAGTTTAAAGGTTGGGAAATGTAACTTACAACTACCACCCTGCTACTAACTGGAAAGAGCCATTTTGTAGTATGATAGTGGGCTGGTTAAACATAGCAGTATTACAAAATTCAAATTACCACATTTTCCATAACATGCGATGCTTTCTACTAAAATAAAGACTGCATCGCGCCCCCCCCCACCACTGCCACCAAAAAATCCACCGATTACAACTTTGTCCTATCAACAACACTTTTTCTTACCTCTTCTCTATCAATGCATGATTGCCCTCTTTGAAGCGTTTAGCATAGAATGTCAGGAAGAAGCAAGCTGACTGCATATGACATTATACGTGGGGGAAGTGAAACACTTCCTGCACAAAAGCACTAATTTCTGTCGGGCTGACTCTGTCTCAGGCCTTTCCCCCCTGCTCTGATTACTGAGCACAAGTCCAGTATGCCATTCTCAATCTGGCATCCTGAAAGTGTCCACGTTATTAATGACATACCCAAAAACCTAAGGCAAACTAAATAATTACTTGCATAAGGCTGAACTGGCGATCAAACGCTGGCTTATAACCAGAGCTTTGTCAACTCAATGGGTTCCAAAATAAATAAATTATTACAGAATAAATCTGAAGTTTCTTTGGTACATAAAAATAATTTTAACAAAGAATCACTTGGGATTGAAATTATAAAGGAATTCCTGATGGTTGCAGTCACCTCTGTTCAAGGATACACCATGGTTTTTGTTGCCATTACAGGATCATTTGATAGTAATAACAAAAATCAAAAAACTTACTGAATTCAATTTTGTAAGGTGAGATCTATGTGTGTTTCCTACAAACTTTTAAAAACATAAATGCAAAAACGAAGAAAAAAACCATAAATGCTTGCAGAAGTTACATTTTTGTTTCTATTAATTTCTAATGAACATTTTCTGGGGTCCATCATAAATGAATTATCAAAAGATGTTACTGGCTTCTGGTATAATTTCCTCATTAGAACCTGTGTAAACATCTCAAAGTAAAAGAAAAAAGTCTTGTCTAATTAGGTAATACATTGGCCTCCCAATTGGTGCATGGCACTTTCTGAGATGATAGCTCAGAAATGGTTAAGCTCAGCATTGTAGGGCATTCAAGGAGATACGTTAAATCATCTGCTTCATTTGGTTATGAGATCAAATTAAGACACAAAGATTAGTCTGGCCACAGTGTTACTCATCTTTAAAAAAGAATATGTCAAAAAGAAAACAAAATCTTGAACAGTTTCTAAGTACAACATTCCAGAACTCACATTTATTTCAATTATTACACCTTAATCACAGTAAAATAAAACATGTGCAGTCATATTTCTTATTCCTGTGCTCTTGACAACTGTCATCAATTAGAAATATAGTATGAGATATGCTTCTCTACAACAAAACTTCCTTTTCCACCCAAATTTCTGTTCAAGTTACTAGTCATGGACTCTTTGCTACCTCAGTGACTATGCGATTTGCTTGTTTTAAATTCTAGTGTTCTATCCATCCACACATTTGAATAAAGTCACAATGCAAACCAGGAGAATCTGAACTAAGATATTTCGCTCTCTTCATGTAGCCTAAGATAATTTTACAGGACACAGAGAGTCCTTACTTTATTAATTAACACCAATGAACCTGGGTCTTAAATATTATAATAAAGATGGGACATCTGAATATTTACCATAATCAGCATTGAATCATTTAACAATTACTTTCAAAATCATTCAGAAGTTTACCTTCTAAAGTTTGTCCTGGAACATTCCAAAACTGACCAAAATATTAAATATCTGAACTATTTTACATAAAAATTCACCTCTTTACATATGAAAAATTATAGTTTGTGAAGTACTTTCACCTTTAGTATTTAATATCTCCATAATACTGGCTTGTTTATAAGCTATCCCCTGAACTGCATTCAAGAAGATATTCCTTCCTGAACTAACAGAGAGACACATACAACTACATCTGTTGGAACTTAACAAGTCTGCCTGAAATCAGTTGATTGTAAGAAAGCGTTACTTATGCGTACATCCTCCCTTACTGACCGCTACAAATCCTACCACGTGAAGGCAGTCACACACTGAAATAAAGAAACCTGGGAAATGAATTATCAGCGGTCAGGTGGACACACAGAACCACGCAGATGCCCGTAGTAGTCATGAGAAAAGACTCACCTCCGATGGCTTGGGGATGCTGAACTTGGAAAGCTTGGCCTTGGCTCTGGTGGACTCTGGCTTGGCGGCCGGGACGCCCCTGTATGACGTGCAGTGCACGCTGGTTTCCGTGGACGACTTCAGTTTCGGAGACTCATCGGGAGCCTGATCTTGGCCATCCATCGGCCGCACGTAAGCAGTCGGTTTCTGCTGGACCAGGCTGGGTTTGGAAGCCAGAGATGGAGGAAAGTTCTGAACACAGTGTCCACTGCCGCTGTGCTTGGCTGCCATAGCGGGTGGTCTTTCCTGGGTCTGAAGACCCACCTCTACATTGCACACCTGTTTGGCCCGTGGCTGCTGCCTGCCAGCGCCATCTCCAAGCAAGGTCCTGAGAGAGCTCTGTTGTGCTGAGTTGGAAGAAGAAGGAGAGGGGGGTGAGGGTGAGGGGGTGGACACACAGTGGTTAGTCTTTTGATTGGGGTTCTTTGGAGGAGCAGATCTGGTCAGATCGATCAACCTGTGTCCGCGCTTACTTGCTCTCTGTGGGCCGTCGGGAGGCGGGTGCCCAGCCTTCTGCCAGCCCACGGTGCCCCTCTTACTCTGCTGCCCGGGCACAGCCGCTGGTGTGGAAGATGCCGTGCTGCATACAGAGGAGGCCTGGGCCTGGGCTCTTGAATCTGCGACAAAATGTTCCTCGATCTTGTTCACAGCAGCCTGAGGAACCCCAGGTTTGGGAACGCCAACGAGATGACTCTGATTAGATCTATCAGTTAAGAAGTCCTTCATTTCATCGTAATTGCCTAACGTATTCTGGATCCGGTTGGAGAGCTCATCCCCCTTGTTAGTCTGGAGAAAGAGAAAGCACACCCTGATATTAGAGACCATGGGAACACGGCAAACAACGGCGGGGTGCCGTTATCGACCACAGAGCTGCCACATGCAGAACGCGAGCAGGAGATGAAATCTAAACCGTCATCTCTGAAGAAGCCCGCCGGCATTCGCTGCGCACCAGACCCAGAGAGCTGGCCAGGGTCGTGGCTGCACAAAACGGCGCCTGTCCTGCAGCCTGTGCAGCCGCTGAGTACGTGCAAACTGCACTCTTGCACCTCCACACCATGGTCCGACTGAGGCTCTCCAGGAGGGGACTTCTTCCTTTTTGTAGTCCCACTGGAAGCTTTTCTTACAAATTCAGATTTGGCTCAAACTGTTCTCTTTCCAGTTTCTAACTACATAATTATTCTTGTCAGAAACCCAGAGTGGCAGGCGAAAGAAGTTAGAATGAAGTTTAAATGAACATAGGCTAAATATGCAAGAAGCTACGAGCTTAAACTACACAAGCTCCATGCGGCCTGAGACACTGGGATGACATTCCATTTTGGAAGAGTGGTTATATTTCTGGCCTTTGGTATAAAGGAAAACCAATCCAACAGTTTCTTTCTTATTAGCCCTATCAAGTAACCCTGGGACCAGCATGATCCACGTGTGACAGATATGTAACCCAACCTCTTTTAATAGTGTTTGCTTCCTAACACCTTAGAGAATATAACAAATAGCACTGACTTTGAAAATCAATGCAGAGATGACATATATGTTACCGATAAAAATTATAGCAAGCAGATCTCAATATTGATACCAAGATTTGTGGGGGAGACCCCCATTCTTAGTGTCAAGGTTGCCTTCCCTTGGCTGAACAGGCAGAAAACTAATTGGAATTTGATTAGGCGACTCTTTTGGTCAAGACTGTCATCCCGGGGGTAGAGGTGCCAGTGGGCGAGGGGTGGAGATAAACAATGGAAAACCATCTACCTTGTAGGGTTCACTGAAGAGGGAATAACTGGAATTAAATGTGCCATCGTCCTGTTGAGTCTCCTGATTTCTCCTTTCTCGTTCTTTCCTCCGTAACACATTTCTATCTGGTTCATAGACACTGCATCAGGAGAAAGAAAAGAGAGTAACTACACACAAACATTAAAGGCTAATGTCCAGCATGACATTCACCCAAGTACAGAAGTCTGGTTCACGGACAAATGGTGATGATGACAAGAACATGGGTCCGGTTAAAGCTAGTCTAACCAAGGAGTGCGGGCTCAGGTGTCGGATAATTACAGTCTTCGGAAGGAGAAAAGTCCTGAGGACAAGTCCCAGCCAGCGCCAGACCTCTCTGCATGCCCTGTGAGAGGGGAACTGTCTAAGCAACTTTGACAGGAGAAGGCTGAGAGTAATCTCAAGGCAGACGGTAATTACTGCAATGTGTAAATAGGAATCTCAAGCACATTTCCTCCTATGACATGGTCCCCGTGTGTTATGTGGGCATGCTCCTGTATTTTCCTTTCTGTTTTTTTTTTTTTTTTTTTTTTTTTTTTGCATGGCTGTGTTTCTGTAGTGATTCTTCCATTAACTGGCTCCCTAAAGAGCTGTTAAACTCCATGCTGCAGTGGCTTTCACAGTTATGAGCCTTCTTCTGATCTCTGTTAATCAGTCAAGTCGTCAAACTAGGACTGAATCAATTCTTCCTTTTGATATATTTGACACTATCACTCCTCCTAACTATGAAAAATGTGCCAGGAGGAAGGGATACGGGCAGTGAAGGGAGAGAGCGGAAATTGAATTATGGCGTGTCATCAAGGAACCCGGCCTTTTGTTGAAGAACATTAATATCTCTTCTCCTAAAATGCAATTATGAAATGACCAGACACCAGCTAACTGGGAGGACTGAGAAAGAAACAGTGTTCCTTCCCCCTATTGGGGAGAAAAGAAAGGGCCTAATGTAACTAACAATGAGGAAGGGACCCGAGTAGTGAAAGGAGGCGGCACGCTTGTTTTCTTCAGCTCAGCAGAGAAAGAAATCCGGCCTAGCGTAGGCACGGAGCTCGCGCCACGGGTGGTAAAGAGCCTGCGTGTCCCTCAAAACGAGCACGGTCTTCGTTTCCTAGCAGAAGCATTTCGCTTAAGTGACCTTGCCATCGTTTTGCTTAGAGCTCCCGCTTGGTCCAGTGCGGGCAGATGCTCAAGCTGGAGCAGGACAACTACCTACTGACTGTGGGTCTCCCCTAATCAATAAGGTGATGACAAAATAGACAGGCTTCGTCTCTCCCCCTACCCCCACGCCCATCTTCATTATAGAGCAGGGCTGTTTCACGGTGTGGGGTACATGTTTAAACATGAAGACGGTCTATAAAGAGGGCTTCGCAATGGCTTTCGGTGCCACAGTCCAATGTATAGCCAGCAAATACCGTTAATAACTATTAATAATGAAAGGATCTGTGGGTCCAAAGAAGCTTATGAAAACAGTAAAGATAACCAATTCTTTAGTTAAACTGTTAACTTGGGTAAAAGAGAATATTTGTGTTATGTAGCTGTGGAGGGCACAAATAAAATAATCATAAAATATATACTGCCTATCCTCCTAGCTCTGCCCATGTGGCCAGAATATACTTTAAATGCGCTGTCTCCATGGTGATGCTAGAAATGCTCCGGGCAAGGCTGTGAGAGCACCTAGAGCCCTACATTTACATGTAAGAGTGAGGGATGTTAAAAAAAAACACACAACACACACACACAGAACATGTAGCCCATTAGCATTTTAATTTATCCTTAATAATTTACCCAAAGTTATTAGATTTGGGAGTCCAACCAGTGACCTTCATACAAAGAGAGACTACAGTCTGACCAACTGAGGGCCCCACAGCGCCTACATCCATCACCAAGCACTCTCTGGGGTGGCCCTGGTGGCACTGAATGGCATAGGGAGGCACAGGATGATGATGACACTCTCACAGAACCAGGCTTCCCGTTCAAAGGAGAGGATAGCATGGTCATGCCCTGCCATGGATAGGCACAACGTGAAACCCCGGCTTTCACGAACATTCCACGATTTCAAATGGAGATTTCTCTAAGGACACATGACTCATGCTATGGATGGACACGATGTGGGCTTTAGCCAAGAGAATTTCAGTTTCACTCTGAACTCACTACCTTTTGGACCAAAACCAGCAATTGCAGTAAGAAACAAAAAGCTTGCATTGCATGCATCACCTTCCTCCCTGGCCAGTGCCTACAGACACCTGGGAGGCCCCTATTGTGCTGACCTCCATGCACACAGACCCCCACAAACATGCTTGCTGTCCTCAGCCAGGTCAAGCCCACCAAACATATAAGACTGGTGTGATGTATGATATGACCATAGGTGACATGGAGCAGGCAGGTGGTCATTTAGGATGATTTGGGGCTCCCGAGAAGGCCCCCATGCCCCAAATAATACCTCCTGCATCGGCTGGTTGACGACTGAAATTCCACGACTAGAGAGTCACTCCTCTGGTTTAAGATGTCTTCACCCCTGTAAGAAACGCAGACACCACAGAAGGGAAAACATTTAAACCTGACCAGCCCTTGTATCTTAGCGTGGGTGAGCTGGTCTGCTTTTTGCCCCCGAGGGCCAAGCAGAGGATACAAGGACATCAGGGTGCAAAGGGAGCCCAAAAAGGAGGCGTTATAAGAAAAGGGAGGGAGTGTAGCAATGAAAACAAATTGATTAACCCCACCTGTTAGCAACCTGGCTTACATGCTCAAGACGAAGACATCAGGACAAAAGCCAAAATCAATTAGGCAGATACCAGACTCACTGCATCTCTAGGGTCAAGGGAAAGGATTGCTTCCCAATATGAAGTGAGAGGTGAAGAGGACGCTGCTCCTCCTTAACAAGATCTGCCTCACTCCCCAACCCCTTTAAGCTTGAGGGTCAACAAAAGCACCCCAAGGTGCAGATCACTGCTAGCTAAAGCCTCTGATGGGGTTCTGCCTGTATCCCCAGCCTATGCCTTCTAATACTAAAAAGGACTGGACACCCTCAGGACCACCTGCACATACTATACCAACAGAAATGCACTGGCCGTCTTTTTTTTTCCCTTAATCTCTAAAAGATCCTCACCCCAGGACATGTTTTTACTGATTCTTAGGTGAGAGTGTGTGTGTGTGTTGGGCGGAGGGGGGGAGTGGAGGGGGAAGGGAAGAGATAGAGAGGGAGAGAAATATCGACAAGAGAAACATCGACTGACTGTCTTCCTGTATGTACCCTGACCAGGGATTGAACCTGCAATCTTTTTGGTGCATGGGAAGACACTCCAACCAACTGAGCCACCCAGCCAGGGCTGCACGGACCATCTTTTATGGGACCACCCCAATGTGGTGTCCTGCAGTACCCTCCACACCATGAGATGAAAACCAAACGACCAGAATCATCCCCCAAGAAGAGGGGCGACTCTTCCTCAACGCCTCCCTCTCCAGTGGTATCTCATCTCCTCCCTTGGTAAGCAGCCCTGTGGTCTCCACCGAGCATTCAGCTCTTCCCAAGCACCCACCCTTATCTTTCACTAGAACCACACCCCCACGTGCCGTGTCAGCCTAGGCAGCTGTAATGTCACCTGCTTAAAGCAAATGTCATTGTAAACGGAAGCCTGGACTTGCCATCCCCACCTCTCCCTCAGCATCCGAACTTTGATCTCTTCTTCCAGTACTAAACATTTTGACTCATAAAGACAGTATCTTCTCGACAGCAAGTCCACGGACCCACTGATTACAGGTGACATCTGTGCAGGCGTCCGTAGTCCCAGAGGATGCCTTTCTTTTGACCTGTTGCCATTAACACTCAGCCCTCTTCCCTCCTCTGGGTTCACAGAATGTGAGGACCACGCCATTTGCTTTATTTTTGTGGTTGTTCGGCAGTTTATTTTGTTCATTAGATTCCACATACAAGTGAGATCATACAGTATTTGTCTGTCTCTGACGGGCTTATTTCCCTTAGCGAACCCTTCCCGTGACAGGCTGACAGCCCAGCCTCACTGCAGACTGAAGCGACGGAGAATTCTGAGTCCTGGCACGCCACTATACACGCTAGACTCAGGCAGGGCCTCGTGTTACGAGCTGTGTTTCTTTGTTACTAGCAGATGGTAAAATTTCCATCATCTGTAAAGCTGTTCCTGATTTCTGTGAAAATTACAAGAACTACACTCTTCAAATGTATGTCACCAAATGTATTCATTCATTTTGCATGAAAGTGGAGGCAGCCAACTGCTACAATGTTATTTATTATTTATTGCAGATGTATAACATTCCAGAAAACGAAGCTTTTTAATAAACTCCTTTAAAAAGAACACTGATTTTTAGAATTAAAAAATGAACAATAAAAATGTAATAAGAACTTCCTGGTCATTTCAATTGATTTGTTTTAATCTACATATCGAAGTATGCTGCAGGGCTCAGGCAAAAGTCAACTGTGCCAGGTAAGTAGGAATAGATGTTCAAACGTGATCTTATCGTCATTTCCAACATTAATGTAGTCTTGACCGTATGGTAACAGTATGGAACTAAATAACGGTAATACCTTTGAGCCTGATGGCTTCTCCCTTCCACTGAGTTCAAAACACTTCACTTACCTGTCCCCTAATTATCCTTACAATGTCCCTTGGAGAAAGACAATGACAGTAGATATTGCTAGATTAACTTTTTAAAGATCAAGAAACTAGGATAAAAGTCTGATCATTAGCCCTAACCGGTTTGGCTCAGTGGATAGAGCGTCGGCCTGCGGACCGAAGGGTCCCAGGTTCGATTCCGGTCAAGGGCATGTACCTTGGTTGCGGGCACATCCCCAGTAGGGGGTGTGCAGGAGGCAGCTGATCGATGTTTCTCTCTCATCAATGTTTCTAACCCTCTATCCCTCACCCTTCTTCTCTGTAAAAAACCAATAAAATATGTATTTTTAAAAAGTTTGATCATTAAAATGATATCATAAAGAAGACATTATTTGCCAGTGATACATCTGATAAGAGGTTATTTTCCAAAATGCATAAAGAACTCATACAACTTAACAAAAGGAACACAAATAATCCAATTAAAAAAGGGTAAAGAACCTGAATAGGCACTTCTCCCAAGTGGACATACAGAAGGCCAAGAGACATATGAAAAAATGCTCAAAATTACTAATCATCAGCGAGATGCAAATCAAAACCACAATGAGGTACCACCTCACACCTGCCAGAATGGCTACCATCAACAAATCATCAAATGACAAGTGCTGGAGAGGATGTGGAGAAAAGGGAATCCTAGTACACTGCTGGTGGGAATGCAGACTAGTGCAGCCACTGTGGAGAACAGTATGGAGTTTCCTCAAAACATTAAAAGTGGAACTGTCATTTGATCCAGTGATCCCACTTGTAGGAATATATCCTAAGAAACCCGAAACACCAATCAGAAAGAATGTACGCACCCCTATCTTCATAGCAGCACAATTTACAATAGTTAAGACCTGGAAATAGCCCAAGTACCCATCAGCAGATGAGTGGATAAAAATACTTGGTATATTTACACAATGGAATACTATGCAGCTATGAAAAAAGAAGGATCTCATATCCTTTGAGACAGCATGGAGGGAGAGTATTATGCTAAGTGAAATAAGCAAGTCAGAGAAAAAAAGTATCATATGATCTCACTTATGTGTAGAATCTAAAAAAAAAACAAAATAAACTGACAAATAAAATAGATCCAGAGACGTGTAAACATGGGAGAGACTGATGAATCACAGAGGGAAGGGGGTGGGGGGAGATCAACCAAAGAACTTATATGCATATACGCATAACCCATGGACACACAAGAGTGCAGTGAAGGCCTGGGGGCGAGGGGTGAGGTGGGAGCAGGTCGCAGGGGGTCAATGAGGGATAAAAAAGCACATCTGTAATACTTTCAATAATAAAGATAAATTAAATAAGTAATAAATAAATAATATTATTCCAAAGACCAGCAATATCTACAGTTCTTTCTTCCTGTCTGTCCAGGGAAGAGGAGCTGCCCATGAGCCAAGGAAGGCCACACTTGCTACACCCTGATGTCTACAAGCCCAATGTTCACAAATAGAGCTAATGAGCCCCATGGCAGCAACAAAGGACACGCAAAGCAAAGAGAAGCTCTTCCTCATGCAGAAAGAACTAAAAGGAGAATTCTGGAATAAAGCCTGGGCTGTTGTAATTTTTAATACTCCCAAAATAAAAGACAAAAATCAGTCTCTCTCCACAGCGCACACATGCAACACAGACGACTGGACTAGAGAACAGATAGAGAAGGAACTATAGATTCAAATGCAAGGCAGATGGTAGCACCTTTTTCACCATATCTGAGCCATTCATCAGCCCTGCTCCAACCTTTGCCCGCGCTGCCCTGCTGGATGGAAAGGCTCTGGGCTCATGCGGCCCACCTCCAGCTGAGCCCAGTGCTGACCCAGCTGACCCCGCTGGCCTGGAGAGACGGCTCTCCTCCCTCCTGCGCGGTCCATATGCCGCCGTCTGAACCTGAACCGTTGCTTGAAGCAAACGGCATTTGCCATGAAGGAGGCTTTCTGCCAAGGGTAAACACGGCTAACTGTACCCCTTAAGAAGAATCACCGAAGTGTTTTATTCCTTTAAAAAAAATTATCCTACCTACTGGTATATCTCTAGGGTTGGGATCCAGGAACAAGGGAACTCACGGAGAAGAGAAGGAACCACCGCTCACTTGTTTTGGAAAGAAGTTATCATGTTCTCCATGTTTAAAAACATTGCCCTCTTCAAACAGCAAATAGAACTACAATTCACTTTCGTCCAGAAGCATTTCCTGATGCCGTGGTGCCAGATGCCAGGGAGACAAGGAGGGCTGTGAGCAGTATTCGCTGCTGCTGAGAAGCTGGCCATCCAGGGGTGGGGGGAGGGGAGCAGGGAGACGGGGTGCATGCTAAGCAGAGGCTGTTGACACCAGGTGGCCAGGCACAGGGAGTCAGGATTGCTTCCTGGGAGAGATGGCCTTTGAGCTGGGCCTCAAAAAAAAGGCAGGTGGGGAGAGGGAAGGGAAAAGAAGGGCTTGGGATGCAGATACGGAAATTACTACCAGTGGCCTTGGAGAGTATTCAGCGGAGGTGAGCCCTGCCCTCCCTATGCCATCGTGTTTCTTTAAACAGAAGTTCCATTTCTCTGGTCTGCTCCACTCCTAGCCTGGCCTGGCCACCTCGCCCTACAGGTGTATCTGATCCCTTTCTGAAAGCAGGTTTGGTGGGGAGCAAGTGAAAAATACTTCCTTTACAGTTTGCATCAGGCCTGGCCCCGAACGGCTTGATCCCAGGGAAGACCATTTTTTCAGCCATGGAGCCGTCACGGTCCCGAGACAACATGGGAAGCTGTCCCTGCGGTGGGCCGGCGGCCACAAGGCAAACGGGGAGAAGAAGGGCCTGAGTGGAGAAGGGAGAGGCTTCCCAGAAACTCTCTGCTCTTCAGAGCGGCAGCCGCAGAGACTGTGTTAATTACAGAGACTCAGACACTG